ACAGCTCCACTGAAATAACAGGAGCGAGGCCAATTGACACCAACTGAGAGTCCTGCCCATAGTTTGGAAAGAAACTAGGTAATGGTGTTGATTAAGCAGAGGAGTGTGAGCTTCTGAGTTCTAGTCCTGGCTCTTTCACCAACCTGCTACATAATCCTGTGCCAATCACTTCTGGCCTGATTTTCAGAGACACTGACAGCTTGCAATGCACATGGAGCTCAACCATCTCCGAAATGAGGCAATTTACTTCTCTCTGTTTCCTGATTGTGAAAATGAGAACAACACCGTTCACTGCTTCCATGCCTCATGGGAGCATTGTGAGGCTTAATTAATGCTTGCACAGCAGCTGAAAAGATGTGCAGCCCTATATAAATCATAAGGACGCTACTTGAAAGTTCTGGGCTACCAAGATACAGGATCAGTGTTTAAATCCTGACTAAGGGCTTGAACCAGTTCCCATTGACCTCAGTGGAATTTGGACAGAGCCATTTAGTCTCTTGCTCTGAGCCTGCCAGCACTGAGCAGCGGAGTGGTCAGCTTCTGGCAGGCGACAGCTTTCCCGCAATGCTCCTAGTCTCTGGGCCAGAGGGGCAGCACCATAGTTTCATGCAGTTTAAGGCCAGAAGGGACTGTTAGATCATGTAGTCTGACCTCCTGCAATTCTCAAGTCACCAAATTTCACCCAAATACCCTCATGTTGAGCCCAGTCACTTCAGTAAAATGAAGGGATTTTAGTCCTCAGGAGACTAAACTCTTGGGTGCCATAGGCAGAGAACTGGAGACCCTGCGATGCCGGTGATGGGAGGGAATTGGTAAGGTGAAATATGCCTAGGCGATCCATTCCCCGGCTGCAGAGAAAGGCAGAACAAAACCAAAATCCCTGCCAATCTCACTTGGGGCAAAATTCCTTCGTGACTCAAAATCTGGCGATCAGCTAGACCCTGAGCATGTGAGCAAGACACATCCGTCAGGCATCTCAAACAGCGGATTGTCTGTACCACCTCAGAGCACTGGTCCACCCCAACCAGTATCCCATCTCCAGCTGTGGCTGATCTTGGATGCTTTAGGTGAACCCCCGACCCAGATTGTGCATCAGAGAAAAAAAAAGTTCCTTCAAGACCCCTGCAGGCTGATGCATGAGATCAAATTAACATCAGAGAGATCAGTGTGAGACCCGTTGACAGGCACAGGACATTTTAGAAAGTGAAACACAAGGACTTCTTAAGCAGTCCAAGTTTGCTTTCACATCTCATTGACTCTCTGTGGGCCAGCCCCAGCATACTGGGGGATGTACCACAGGGAACAGAAGGAGTAAACTATACGTGCTTGAGAAGGCTTTGGTGTAGGTAAGAAATACGTGGCCAGCAATTAAAAGAAAAACAGTGGGGAGAGAGAGTGAAGAGGGAACAATTTGTTTCAAACGCATCCAACTTGCTCCACAGACCCCTGATTACAATGGGTAGAAGTGTCAGTGGTAATGAACACTTCCTTGATTTTTTGCGGCCTGGCTGAAAATCAAGCGAAAACACCAGAGCGAAAAGTCACAGGTGGGAGTGAGGATCAACGCAGATTTAGTTTCCAACAAAATAACACATTGTTCAAAATATTTCAAGATGACAAAGAGTTTCAGATTTTCATTAAAACTTTTGCAATAGCAGCTGCTTTTAATTGTCCACAGGAAAAGGTTCAGAATATTTACATGCTCTCCAATACTACATCACATCTTTTTACAAAACGGCTTCTGCCTCTCCAAGAGCAAAATGATTAGTGTGATGCTTATAAGGATTTAAAATAATTTATTTTACTTTCCTCTAGGTGCTGTCCAATCATTTGGAACATACACTCCTGTCAAGTGGGCTCCATCTCGTTTGGAATTGATGGAGTCATAGAATATCAGGGTTGGAAGGGACCTCAGGAGGTCATCTAGTCTAACCCCCAGCTCAAAGCAGGACCAATAGATCTATCCTAATGCAATTGAGGGCAAAATCTGGCCCACTGAATTCAGTGGACACTATTTAAAGGAACATGAATGTACCTCAAATGACAAACGCGCCCCATCCTGTACAATAGATGTGAAATTCTCAATTATTCTACACAGCAAGAGATGTCTACTCAGAATTCCCAGCTACTTCCCATTTTAGAGGCATCTATGATTATGTAAGACTGTAAAACAAAGTGACTACAGGAGGTTCTGAAGAAAATATACAACTTCTCTCTGTGCTGTTTAATCAGACTTTAACCATCATTAACACAAGATATCAAAAAGGTAAAGAGTCAGTGAATTTTCTTAGAATTCTCTAATCTATCTTCATTTCATGTGCCCTTCACAGATAAAGTCTAAGAGTCTATGGCATAATTCTACTCTGAACTCTCAAGAAAGAAATGCTTTATGTTAACCATAATGCTCCTTCATTTAGCAAATTAGCTTTGTTGAGTATAGTGATAGGTTAAGGGGGGGGAAATGGAATCATGGGCTCTATAATTTTGTATGGGAAACAGATACACATCTAGGTTAATCCCTGACATTTTTAAACTATTCTGTGAGCTAGGGAAAATGTGTTAATAGAAGACAGTAGAAATACTTCTAACCCAGATTACAATGTGGTTCAATCCAGAGCTGGCAGCTTTGCAGGGCTCCTATTGGGGGAGGGGAGAATGCAATGCGTCCTATAATATGGACAAGAATATTTTTTGCTTTACCTGTAAAGCTACTGTTCATTTCAGGGATGTCATCCTCATCCTCATTCTCCGTATGCACTATTCCAGCATTTTGCATATCATTATAAGACTTGGTTCGTTTTGGAGTCGACTGCTTGGAGTTGGACTGAAGGTTTTGCAAAGCATCAGTGGTAATCACTTTCCCACTGACGGGTTGGCTGGGAGGCTTGGGTGTTCCATAATAGTTACCTAGGCAATAGAAACACATTTGCATGTTCAAAAAAGTAGATTTTAGGCCGCAAGATTTTTTATTCTTCTTCTTATTCCATCAAAACCTCTTTCTCCCCGCAAAAGACAAAAATAATGGTTCTTGTTTTTCTAACTATATTTCACTTCTGGAATAGAATAGAAAGATTTCTTTCCTTTTAATTTATTCATGTTGAATTTAAAAGTAGAAGTGAGGGTTGCATTGTTTAGGTGCACTGAGCGTACAAGGACTAAAACAAAGGCAGCTGTGGTGAATAGCAAAACTTCATCTCATTACATTTGAATTTCAATTAGTGGCTTTTTATATGTATGCACCACACAATACTGTGTCAGATTTAGCGTGAACCCTGCAGAAAATAAAAAATTCATTACTGCTATCACCAGATAGGTGATGAAAAGCTGGGATGACCTGCTTTAATAGAAGAGCTCTTTTGGGTGGCTGTTGCATTTCTGAAAAAGTAATCTCTCTCTAAAGGAACACTTTGTCAAAGGAAAACACCCAGTGCCACCTGCTTTCTTTAAAGAGGAATTTCAGCTGTTGGGGTCAGTTAGAGTAGAACTGAACTAGCCAAATCTTTAAAGCAAGACTCTTAGGGGCAAATATCACATGCAATTTGTGGGACAATTTTGATCCTTTCAGGGAAATCCCATCTTATGGCAAATTCACTAAAAGTGCAGGTTCAGTCTAGCCAGGATAGCAATCTTCACAATGAAATATTTCAGCATTTCCAATCTACTTCACTTTGCAGTAGCACTTATGAACCCCCATCATTTAGACCCCCATTGTGCTAGGTGCTGTACGAACACAGAGCAAAAAGACAGTCCCTGTCCCATAGAATGTATGATATAAGCAAATTTATGATATTCAGAATACAGTTTATATTATTTGACATTATAAGCAAACAAGTCTATATTTAAAATATCAATTATTCATACCAGTTTCAACAATTATTACATATTTTAATTTCTGCCGTTGGGCCACAGAAATTGACTTAAAATATTGTCCATTTAAATATAGCATTTTATTCCCAGGGATCCCAAAGCAGTTTCAAAAATACATTTTTACCTCTCCACCCCCAATATAAAAGTGCATGTTTATATATGCACATATATACCCTATAAACATTATTTATATCAGCCATAATTCTTTTCAAAATTCTACTCAGAAAACACACTGGTAAATTTGATTACATTATGCATTATATCTACAGCTAACTAGATTACATATAAGGAAATAATGAGAGAATGATTTGGCACAAAAATGTCATCAGAATCCAACTCTTGCTGGTAAAACCTTTTTAGGACACCATACCATTCTATATGTACTGTATATTCTCTCCATCCTATACAGACATTCAGAGTATACAGTGTGTGTATATACATATACACACAAAATGCAGATTATTCCAGATAAATACACATGAAACCTATGTACCACACCAAACCATCATGTCCTGTATATATGTCATAAATATTACAAACACACACCCCTGCCTATAGGAGAATGTGTTGTACATGTTTAAAATTTATAAATGAGTTACACACAGATGTAGACAAACCCGCTGTACGCACTGCTCAAATGAAGTAATCCTTAGGTTTGCAGGAGAACAGGCAGTTATTTTACAATGCCAGTTACAGCTCACTAGAGCTTAATGTGCAAATCACATACATTATGAATTTTAATTCATAAAACATAACATTCATCTGAACTGCCATTTGAGTGGTTGAATCAATCTTCTCCTTTCAAGCTTTTACTCGAGTCCATCCCTGAAGCTCTATTTCCATTGGCCTTCGGGGTGAATTAAGACAGGAATCATGCCTGAGCAGTCTGAGGGTTGTGTGCAGGAAGGAGAGTGAAAAACCAGGCTAACACCTGTGGGCCCTGTGAAGGGCATGGGGATAGACTGGGTAACAGGGAGTGAGAAAGAGTCCAGCCAGGAGAAAGGATCAAGCGAGTTCATTGAGGCGGGCCCGCGAAAGGAAAGCCAGCTTCTGTTGCTAAGCAAATCCCAGTTTGCCTTCCCGGCTTACCCTGCACAAAGATCTTACCCATCGCACTGCCGTCTTAGAGTACAAGGACTGGGATTCAAAATTCACGGTTTCTGGAAATCAGAGGGACTCCCTCCTCAGAGCATTTAGCGATGTAGAAACGCTGTGACAGCAACACACAGAGCTTCATTCTCGGTAAGCTCCATTCAAGTGTCTATAAAGGATCAAGGAGTCAACTCCGTAGAGCAAAGCAATGTTCAGCAATACCTTTCTGTTTTATTCTTCATTTCGGAATCTTAAATGTACACAGATGCATAATTTATAAGGAGAAGGAAATGACTTCCTCTGGAAAGAGCCCCTAATGGGGATGTCGAATCTTACAGCAGGTGCAGTCTCTGCTAGAGAAATGATTCTTACTTTCTATATGCTGCAAGAGTATTTTATGGAGGAGGAGGAATGTGAGAGAGAAAGGAGGGGGAATATAAAAGAAGTAGGAAGAGAAGATAATCTATCCTACTCTATTTTGTACTTCTCCAGAGATTCAATATTACTTGGTTATTTCTTTTTTAAGCTCTGTGTATTTTACAAAGATACTAACAGGTGATTACAAAGATCAACGAGTATATAGAATACATGGATAGCAATTCAGCTTGAATGTGTGGCACTGAACACAGATACTTTGTCCAGCATTTATTTCAGTGATTTTATATGTCGTTAGACCTACAAATATGTAACACACACAAAGTTTTCAACAAAGGGTATATAGGTGTGTAGTTGGAGCAGAATTTTGATAATCGTGGTAAGTATGTAACATAGATGTGCTAAGAGGTCTCCTGGGGACCTTTGTTAAAATTCCACCACCAAATTCAAGAAAAGGGTAGGATGATTTCTCCCTGACTCTGATGGGTTCACCCCCTCATCTCTTCCAGTCATGATTTAGACGAATGGTTCTCAACCTGCGGCCCATTCAGCACACAGCTGCAGCCCACGTGACATCCTCAGGGCCATACAGGTAGTATATAAATGGTTTGGATGTGGCCACAACACAGTACACATATTGAATCTATTTCCCCACGTTAAGTATCCTCACACCTTCTTGTCAACTATCTAAATGGGCCATCTTGATTATCACTACAAACGTTTTTTTCTCCTGCTGATAATAGCTCATCTTAATTAATTAACCTCTTACTCCACTTTTTCATGTTTTCTGTATCTGTGTGTGTGTATATATATATATCTTCTTACTATATGTTCCATTCTATGCATCCGATGAAGTGGGCTGTAGCCCACGAAAGCTTATGCTCAAATAAATTTGTTAAGTCTCTAAGGTGCCACAAGTACTCCTGTTCTTATAACACAGAGGGAGCTGCTTATGAGGCCCACAATGGTAAATAGATTGAGAACCACTGATTTAGAGAGTGAGTTCATAAAAACATGAACAGTGGCAATCACTTTCTGAAAAATCAGGCAAAAATGCCTCAAGTTTGACAACCAAAATCACTAGGTCACTTGGTCAGTATTTTTTTAAATTATTTTTTGCTTTTGGAATATATCATATTGAATCAACACTTTTTGTTCCCCGCCCCCCCAAGGGAGAATATCATCAAACTTCCCTAAAAACATCTTTAATTTCCCTCTTACTTCCAATTATCCAAACTGAACACTGTGCCCGATTACTCATCTACTCATATTTTTGTCAAGCTATACGTTTCAATGTACATAGAGTAGAACCTCAGAGTTCCAAACACCAGATTTACGAACTGACCAGTCAACCACACACCTCATTTGGAACCGCAAGTACACCATCAGGCAGTGACGGAGTCCCCCACCCATCAATCAAGCACAGACAGAAAAGCACTGTGTTAAACGTAAACTACTAAAAAAATTAAAGGTAAAGCAGCATTTTTCTTCTTCATAGTAAAGTTTCAAAGCTGTATTAAGTCCATGTTTAATTGTAACCATTTGAAAGAACAACCAGAACATCTTGTTCAGAGATACAAACATTTCAGAGTTATGAACAACCTCCATTCCCGAGGTGTTTTTAACTCTGAGGTTCTACTGTATGTGTTTCAATGTGGCAATTCATTTAGACTGTCTGTTTAACTTAAAATGGATGGTCCTTGGGGTAGGAACTGATTCTTTTTCTGTGTTTTGCCAGGGCACCCTGAAGATAAAAAACTCACCATGAATAAAAACCTCAAATTGCGGAAATGCCATACCACAGCCCGGCTCCGAGGACATCAACCGGAGACTACTAGACCCAATGGAAATGTTCTTGTGTGTCTAAAATTTGTGTTCACTGCATACAAATGAGTATATTTCTCCTCGATGCTCAGTTCATTTGGAAGGTGCTGCAACAGAGCACTGGGCCTTTGGAGCATGAATGGGCCCCAGGGCTCCTATTACAGCATCCATTATTAAAGAGCCAAAGGCTGTAACTAATGCTTACATTTGCTCCCACTCATGTACTCTACAAGAAATGGCATCTAGAGCTTCCAGACTCGTGGGTACAGAAGCAGACAGGGGAGATATGTGGTCAATGAAAGGGTTCTCTCTGCACCAAGAGGCAGAAGGGCTGAGAGGGAGACACCAGCTGATTTGGGGGGGGTGGGGGGGGGAAGCTATTTTGTGGCATCTGCCAGGTTTTCTCTTTTCGAACAAAACCAGCAACATTTGGTATAATTGTCATCTCCTGAAAGTGTGTAAACATTGAAGCTGGGCTGCCACCATTTAACTTCCAACACAAACAAGCAACAACCCAAAACAAACATTGCCTTTTGTCATGGATGGTATTTAGCAGCAGTTTGGTCTGGATTTTGACCAATGCAAAAAACCAATGTGTTAATACTGAATGTAGCTCTCTCTTATCTACTCACGGGTCTCACATTTTAAAAAAAATATTTGAATCTATGTCAAGTAGTTTCTCCGATCCTCTGAGAGTCCCCTTTTCAAAATTCTTCTGTTAATTTTTTACAGAGGTGTTTGAATAGTTTTTAAAATATCCCTCATTTCATGATCAAAATTTAAAATACTTCTGTTTGGTTTCAGAGTAGCAGCCATATTAGTCTGTATCCGCAAAAAGAACAGGAGGACTTGTGGCACCTTAGAGACTAACAAATTTATTTGAGCATAAGCTTTCGTGAGTTACAGCGCACTTCATCGGATGCATTCAGTGGAAAATACAGTGGGGAGATTTTATATACAGAGAGAACATGAAACAACAGGTGTTACCATACACACTGTAAGGAGAGTGATCAGGTAAGGTGAGCTATTACCAGCAGGAGAGAAAAGAAATCTTTTGTAGTGATAATCAAGGTGAGCCATTTCCAGCAGTTGACAAGAACATGTGAGGAACAATAGGCGAGGGGGAGGAATAAACATGGGGAAATAGTTTTAGTTTGTGCAATGACACATCCACACACAGTCTTTATTCAAGCCTAGAGTTAATTGTGTCCAGAGGAGTGGGAATTCCCCCCCCCCCCCCCCCCACTACTCCTGTTCTTTCTGTTTGGTTTGCTGTTCTTTGGGTGGAAAGTCACATTATTTCCTATTAATGAGTATTTGGACAACCATAAGGAAGTCAGGAAAATGTTTGCCAGTCTTGAAAGCCTCCAAAAGCTTAGTACAAATGATCATCCATTCAGAAATTTCTACTGGAATTTTGAGTATTTGCAATTTGTTGTTTTTTCAACTTCTCTATCAATTATTTCAATCAACCAATCAGGAAGAGGCAAACCACCCTCTGTGTCTTAGCAACCCAGCCAGCACAATGAATAACAAACAGAGAACAGTCAAAGCAAAGAGTTTATGAACCACCCGTAAATTGGAAATTATTTGTTTCCAGTATCCTGCTAATAATCATAAAGAACATATACATGAAAAGGCAACTTAACATTTGTTTGTGAGAAATTTATGAAACAAAAGGGGCTAAATTCATAACAAATATAATTTGTACTGAATAGTCCACTCAGCTCTCATTATTAACATCATCTTACCCTTACAGCACACAACACCCATTATCCCAGAGGATCCTAAAGCATTTTACAAGCGACATACAGTAGTTATGACCTGACTTTCAGAGGTGCTGAGCTCCTACAGAAGTCAATAGGAGATCTGGAGTGCCCACAGCACCTCTGAAAATTATGTCTGCAGTTCTGAATTCACTGACTCCTATAGCGAAGCATAATTTTGGAATGATAAATGAAAAGCCCTCTCTTTGCACCGAGGAGCTAACACTTACAGAGGACGCATACTATCTTCAAAGCTCCAATATTGTGCTTTGACAATGTTTCCACTAATGGCTTACATCTTAAAAAGTAGTCTCTGTTGCATACTATATTAATGCAAAATGGCATTCTGGGGAAGAAATGTACATAAATACGAAAATTAAGCAAGATCTTGACATGCAGAATCAAAATGTAATTATTAATGTAATTGTTTTTTGAGCCGTGCCTCTTTTGTCTGCTCTCCAGAAGAGCCAAAATGATTGAACTTTAATTTTACTAAAAGTGCCTCTGTTCATCTAATCCAATCAGAGTGCTGGTGTCTGATTAGCACAAGACGAATTGATTCCTGGAAGTGGAGACAGGGTTACAGTGTTTTAGCTGTTTACTTCCCAGACTGAATTTGGCTACCAGTTTCTACATTTAGATGTCAGATCTGGCTGCTGTCTGCCGGAATCACCTAACTGCAACCCACATTGATTAGCAATTGCCTCGAGGAAACTCAGAGTATCCAGGCAACCAAGAGGAGGCCAGGGATCTAGCATCTGGAAGGGGAGGCAAAGCACAGCATAGTTTTGCAGTCGGCAATAAAAGAGAGCACTGAGAAATTAAATTACAACATATGTAAATCAAGTCTCCTTTATATTTCTGATTCTCTTGAGGTGGTTCAAAAGGGGCTAGCTGACACTCAGTCTGGATGTTTTTGTTGGGAATTAGCCAAAATGTTACAATAGGCATATTTTAATTTACGGCTTAAATTCTTGGGTAACAACCAAGAATCTTGCTTTATGATCTCATTGGCCAAATAGGCTGAGATTTTCATTTGGGCTTAAAGAATACGGGGATATGGACACTGAACTCCCCTAGGCCCCATGAAAACCCTAGACATAACAAATAACTTCAAAATTGTTTTCTCTCAAGTGGATGTATCAAAATCACCACCATTACGGTGACCAGCAGCTAACAGAAAATCATTGGCTATCACCCCAACCACACAGCTATTGTTCAATCTGTATACAGCTGCATGCAAACGGATTGAATGCACACAACAGTCTATCTTATAATAAATTAAACAAAGATATTCACCGAGCTAAGGCAACTACGATATCCTCCACTTCCCCAGTTATGCTTTAGCATTGCAACACAGTTTGTGTGTGTGTGTGGGGTGGGGGTGTGTGGAATTTGATCTTAACAGGCTAGCAGGGATATCTTGGTACCACAGGCTCTGGTTGACTCTGTGAACTCAAGACTCTTTCCTGCAGTCAGGCAGGAACCATTAATGTTAACATAACACTGGGGTATCTGTTGTACACACAGTCTGGTATGTATATACAAACACAGGTGCATACATATAGGAATATATAAATACACACCCAAAAGGGCTGTGAAGTAGTTAAGATTGCTTTACACACCATATGCTAAATCTAACGTGAACCCACAAAAAGCAAGGAACAGAAAAGTAAAGACAATTAACCGTGCATATGTTCTACTACTCCCACAACAAACTTCCCTTAGCATTACAGTGACCATACACCACAGACATACACCTCAGCCTTACTGCTGAGCCTTTTCGCACATACCCCTGTATGAAATGAGCATTTCCCCAACATTGTCATGCATGTTTGGTGCTCTAGGTGGTTATGTTGGATGAGGGTAGTTTGGAGGAGGATTGTGAGCGCAAGGCGGCGCCGAGGGGGATAGAAGGCTGGTGTCCTAGGAGGCCAAAGTGCAGGTTACAGAGTACATGGGCTGTAGTATGTGGTAATTGCAGTGGAAAGAGGTAAGGAGCATGCTCGTGGATGGAAGTGTAGCAGGTACGCATTGTTAGGTGGCTTACCCTTTCACTGCCTTGCCCCTGGGGCTAGGTTCAGGTATGTTGTGCGCATAACAACCCTAACGGCTTTATAACAAAGATTTTTGTGTATTATTTCATACAGGTTTTTTTGAATGCTTCAGTTTAAGGTGGGAGTTGGATGAGGTGGAGGTAGGGGCTAGACCTCTGAAACACAGAAGTACAGCTGCAGCAGAAAATATTTCATCTGTTAGTAGCCGCATGTGAGCCCTTCCTTGCTGCAGGATAAAATGTGACAGAAAACATAGCTCACAACTGAAAATATTTCATGTGTGCTCAGCGCCCGTCAACAAGGCTTGTGTGTGTCCAGTTCCTATCATCAATTGCTCCTGTATGTGTCCAACCTCCATTGATCAGGCTTGTGTGCATAGCACATACTGTGTCCATAACAGCCAAAAATAACCCTAAATCTTACATTCAAGTGCATCCCTCAAAAAAAGACCCCCCCCACCCCATCCTTTGTGCTAGAAGTCCTCAGGATCAACTTCTCTACCAAATTTTGTGTCGACAGGCAATGATTTTAAGAGATATCTGTCCACAATGAAGAGGAGTGCTACCGAGGAAAAAGTTTGGCCAGAGCCAAAGTCGTCCTATTAAAAATGTATGAATCAGTCAAAAAATCCATAGAAAATTTAAAGGGCATGAAAATTACCCTTCTATGAAATTTCACACCAATTGTCTACCTATATTTTGAGAAAAATAGGAATTGATGTCCATTTTAGAATGCAACTGACTAACACTGTCTCTCTCACACACCCTTTTTACATGAGAAAAAAAAAGAAAACCATGAAGTCGGGGGGGGGGGGGGGGGGGGAATCTTTCCACAATATATAGATATTAATAAGTGGATCTTTGACATGATACACTGTAGTGGCTCTAAAGGAATCATTATGATTTATTGAGTCAATCTGTAGTACAGAGACGTTAATAAGCGGATCTTATCTTATTAAGCGGAACGTGTTTGTTCCGCTACGTGTGCATCTACAGCATCTGCCACCCCCCAGTCTTCTGATCTTTCTCTTCATGTTTTCATACCATAGCCACAGCACTCACTCAGGGCTGTACAAAGTTGGCAAGACCCATAGAATGCAAATCAACAAAGAAACTAGAACAATGAAAAGCAGCCGTTCTATAGAAACGGATGGAGGAGGAGGGCCAGTGGACAGAAATATGAGCAGAACAAACACATCAGAAATATTCGGCAAAAAGGAAGTTTCTTGGAATTCAAGTGCTGGTTTCTGAACGCATCCTGGGACTTTTGCTGCTATTCGAGCTGGACCGTTAAGGTAGCTGATTACGATCATTAAGTACTTGTAATCAGGGTCCCTGTCTACAGTAGCCAGTTTGATATTATAGATGCTAATAAGTCACCCATTACTTTTTAAGTGATGAAACTAATGCAGATTACTTATTACTTTTCTTGGCACTCACACAAAGCCTGTCCCAAGAATGAAAGATGATGCCTTGACAATAATGCTCTATAATTTAACAACCCTTCACATATTACACATT